AGTGTGGGTAGCCAGCCCCCACATGGCTCAGTGAGCAGAAAATATGTATAGGCAACGCCTGCTGTTCCTCAGGCTGACTTTGGTTCCACGTGCTGCCTGCAGCCACACCTCCTCCTGATGGGGGCTTCCCTCATGCCTATGCCCAAGTCAGAGAAGAAGAAATTCAGTTTCCCAGCATTCAAAGAAGAAAACTCCTCTCAGTGCACAATAGGGAATATAGCTCCAGATTGGGCCAATGTGGAGACTGGGTGACCGACCGTTTTACTGAAGGGGATATCTAGGCCATCCTCTGCTTACTGAAAGGAAAATTAGAAAAGAATATGTATCTTGCTTTGATTTCTAAAGGAAAAGAAAATCTGAAAAATTAACTCAGATTCAGGCTTCTCTGACTGCCTCTATTTTCAGGAAATTGAATAAGGTTGTTAACTGTATTGTGGCATTTGAAAGCTTAGTTACGTGTAAAGAGATTTTGTTCCAATGCTTTAGGAAACAGATACTTTTAAAAATGAGATTGAAACTACCTAAAGTTAAATTTCCCAAATGATTTTCTTTCTCCAATAAAGCGAAAATGAGTGATCAGGCAAAGCTAAAAGCCTGATTTTAGAGATTCTTCCCACCAAAGGGGGAAATTCTACCTTTCTATACTTCTGGTGTGCTGCTGTAGAATGAAACACTGGACCACAAGGTCAGCAGTTCAAAGTCACTAGCCACTTCTTAGAAACCCTATACAGGGTGGCTCTGAATCAGAACCAACTCGATAGCACTTAACAATAACAACAAATACTTTTCCCAGAGTCCTAGTGTGGTGCTGGACTGCTAACCCCAAGGTCAGTGGTTCAGACTCACCAGCAGCTCCTTGGAAATCCTATATAGGGTCACTATAAGTCAAAACTGACCCAATAACAGTTAACAACAAGAGCAACATCTTTTCTCAGGGTAGCAGAAGGAACGATTCTCATGGGTCAATGGGCTCATTCATGCAAATACTGGCTCAAGGTCTGACTTTCTGTGAATCTGACTTTACTCTGCAGAGGTTAAAATACACAATTTGGAAATGTCAGTTTGACATAAATGAATGTGGCAAAAAGGTAAAATCTGGAATGGGTAGTTTTCTGTGGTGACAGACGATCCATAATTTCAAGTGTTTAAGCAGAGGTTGGCAGGTCACCTCTCAAAGCTAGATAGAAAGGTTTCTGTACTGACCATTTTAAATGGCTCTTTTCACTTGAGGTTTTTCCCAGATGTAAAGATGTGAATTCCACGGCTGAGAATTCCCATGAGTCCCCATCATTGTGCCTTGTCCTAGAGTTATTGCCAAGAGTGGGAACCTATCCCAGCTGAGTGAACTCCTTATCGTTGGATATTTGGGCATTTTGTTTGCAAAGCATTTATTCACCACCCATTTTGGAAAAATTAAAACATATTTTATGTATATTCACATACTTTAATAATCTTATCAGACACCTAACGGCAGAGGATGCAGTTATAGAAGTTCGTACTGAAAAGCAGTGACTAAAAGATACCTCAGCAATCTTAAAATTATTGAGTGTCCTTCAGGTCTGGAACAGAACTCATCCTTATGGCCCAATTTTCAGTCAAGCAGTAGATAGGTATATAGGGTAGAAAACACAAGTAAGGTATGCTCACCATGCAGTGGTCAAGGTCAACCATTCAAGACTGAAAGGACAACATTTACCTAAGGACAAAGTTGAGCAGGGATGGGAAGGAGGGTGGAATGGAAACAGGAATCCGCAGGGAGAAAATGGAATAACTATAGTTACATGGCTGTTGCTGTTGTTAAGTGTTGTCGAGTTGGTTCTGACCCATAGCAACCCTGTATAGGGTTTCCAAAGAGTGACTGGTGAGTTTGAACCGCTGACCTGATGGTTCAAACTGACTGCAGTTCAGCACATTAACCCACAGCACATTAACCCACACCAGGATTCCACTGTTGAATGGTTGTTGTTGTTGTTAAGTGCCGTCGAGTCGGTTCCGACCCATAGCGACCCCGTACAGGGTTTCCGAGGCTGTAAATCTTTACGGGAGCAGAAAGCCTTATCTTTCTCCCATGGAGCCGCTGGTAGTTTCGAACTGCTGGCCTTAAGGTTCGCAGCCCGATTCGTAACCACTACGCTACAGAGTGCAATTGTTGAAGTGAAATAAGTGTATGGTTTGTTGACTGTAAAACTAATGATTTTCTCTGTAAACTTTAACTTAATTCCTAGTAAAAAGTTTTTTAAAATCTTAAAATGTTAACAGTTATTTTTCTAGGGTTCTAAAAATTATTTTGAAATATAGAGGAAAAATGTTAAGCATAAGATGTTTATCACAAAATATTCATAATAGTAAAGAAAAAAATACTTAAATGTACAAAAATAATTGAATGTAGTAAAATAAACAGAGACAAACAGTTGATAAAATGTTATTTGACCATCAACATTATCCATGAAATAATAATATTTTATCCCCAAACAGTTCTCTTATTTAAATCACTAAAATTATTATATATAAAATTCCCCACATTGCTCAATGGACTCCACACCAGAACTCCTAATATATATATTTATAAAACTATTATTATATAGTAGTTCTGGGGTAGCATTGCAATATCGGTGGTTCAAACTCACCCGTTGCTCCTCGGAAACCCTATACAGGATCTCTGTGAGTCAGAACCGACTGAATAGCATTTAACAACAACATTTTTTATATAAATTACAATTATAACTGTGTTTTTTTTTTAATTATTATTGTGAATGATGTGATAGTTTACATGGGAGAACATTAGCTTTACATTCATCCTATCGTATATCGTTTCATTACCATGGCTACAATACCCTCCATTCATCATCAACCAACCAAAGGGTATACCCTGTAAGTCTGCCCCCCACCCTCTCCCCCTCTCTGGGTCTAGAGTCCCCAACCGTTCCCTCTCTCCATGTCATCGTCTCTGTCTCCATCTCAGGCATTGCTGCTTCTCTGCATAGGGTCCCGCATTCTGCTTTTCTCTGTTGATGGTCCCAGGGACCTCTGCTCCTGGACTGCAAAGTCAACCACTCCCCTCGTTTTGCTACAAAATGTCTACCTTTACATTTCCAACCCTCACAGTCCGTCCTGATAGCAATCATTCACTATTGTGACACATGAGGCTATCCCCATCTCCTTTCATCAGCCCTGCACAAATTGGATACTACTCAATGGAGATTCTGCCTTCCTCCACATCCTCTGAATCTAGGCTCCCTCTTGAAAGCTTGTAAGCCAGTCACTTCTTGCCTTTGTAGCCCCCCATTTTGGGTAGCCAGTGTCCAAGTTCCCCATCCCTGTCTACCCTGTGTACCAGGATGGGAATGATCCTCGCTGTAAAGATTTCTTCCCTCTTTTGAGCTACTGCATCCATAGGTGCAGGTCAAGTTCATAAAATTATATCAGATTACTCTTTTTTCCTCTTCTTTCTTCTTGTATTTGAATTCTGATTACCCAGTCATTGAAGCCAAGTCAAGTGAGTATTATCTGCAAGTATGGGTGTTCTTGTGCATATGCCCTCCCATTTTATCAGCTGGACAATTCACTCTCCACTCTAATCCTCTGTGGCTATATCACTGACTCTGGGCCTAGGAGTCCCCAGGTCTTGCCAAACTGCTGGCCAACCAGGTCTCCACCCGGGTTCACAGGAATCTATTGAGCGTGGTAGGGCTTAGCTTGCTGTTTCATTGCTGTTTTTCCCTTACTTTCCCTTATTGGTGACCAACATGGTCGCCAGTCAGAGCGCATGTCTGCTTGTGTAGTCCCACTGAGTCTTAGTCTTGGAAGGGGCTTTGCCCTGAGGAGACCTGACCACTTGTCTTGATGTCTCTGGGTGAGCAACTTGCTTGTTCTTGTAGTAGTCAGTTGGACTGCCATTATTGTTTTGTATTTTTCCTGTCGATCTTTCTTTTAAGAAGTATCTTCTATTCTGCTAGCCGCTTCAGGCTGGTCTGCTTGTCCTTTCAAGTGGAAATTTCCCACTTCAGAAGATTCTGTATGTGGTTCAGGATTCCCCCTATGGTCTTATATAATGCAGAGGCTCCACAGGAAGCCTCCTTCACTGGGCATGTTGTAGCCCCATTTTAGGTATTCCAATCAGTAATAGGCAGAAGACAGATGTACAAGCTTTCTATGGTGATATTTCTGGCTATTCCTTTCTCTCCCCCTCAAGTGTCTATTTTATAATGGTATGCAAGGGAAATCAAGATTCAAAAGACAGCCAAGCATCTTAACATTGTTTCCCACCTTTGGGCCTTTCCAATCATGCCTCAATCCTTGTATCCCAGAGCCCTGTTGTTCCAAGGTTGTACGTATATTATTATTTACCTCTGTCCCACTTAGCCCATGCAAACCTGCTTAACTGTTAATCCCGGTAACCAGCAAAGAATCCTCCCTCTTTAGTATGAGTTATTTTTCTTAGTGTTTTACAATAATGGTCTTATGCAGTGTTTCTTCTTTTGTGACTGACTAATTTTATAAATGTGTTTTTAAAAAATATGCAAATAACATCAGTAGTTGAAAACAAGAGCTCAATTCTCTTGATTTCTAGAATTCCATAATGCCATTCCTTGGTTTCCTCAGAAAATAAAACCTTCCACCTGGAAAACACCCAATTAGTCTCCCTAAGCCAGAAATATGAATTGATTATATATTATGGGACAGGCACTGTCTCGGGCAGTTTGAGAGACAAGGAAGTAGATAGAATGCTAATCCTTAAATCTCTTACAGATGTCAGCAAGAGCTGGGAGATGAACAACCCAAGGCAGGGAAGTACCAGCTTTTCATAGACAGGGGGCGCCATCAGGATTCAGAGGATGGTAACCTCCAGCTACCATTATAGCACAGGAAGAGTTTACAATGAAAAGAGGACAAGAAATGAACTTACTTTTTATCAAAATAAACTAAACACGTTTTCAGGAGAAAATTCTAAAGGAGCAGAACCCTTTTAAAGCTAAGACCCACTGTGGTTGTCTATGCAGGAGCCTGTGTGGTCCGAGATGCCACTGGGAATCTGAATGACACCATCATTGCTGGAATGAACTGCAATGGGTCGGCAGCCTGTGGGCTGGGCTATGATTTTTCGAGATGTCGACGTGAACCGTGTCAGTATGGGCTGATGAACAATTTTCAGGTTTGAACGTTCAAAACATAAGTTTATTACTTTTGTTTTCATTTTTGGAATGTCATGTTAATGAAACTTCCAACTCTGCAATAGATGAATTATTAATCTGTTTGAATTCAGAAGTTAGTGTAGAGGGAAAAGGCTGACCCAGGTATTATGTGATAGAAGCACTGCAGTTCATTTTATATGGCGGAGGGAGAACCAGCTATTCTATGAATTGCTTCTCCAAGGACAGATTACCACCAAACACTATGTCTTCCAAATCGCTTGTGTGAAATTTCCTGGTGGAGAGAAAGAGAAACTTAGACTAATTAACACTTGGAATACATTTCATACATGGACCTCCGTTTAGGAAAAAACCTATGATGTGGTATTGCTGTCATTATGTGCCGTCTAGTTGGTTCCCATACATAGTAACCCTGTATAGGGCTTCTGAGGAGTGGCTGGCATTGAAGTGTCTGAAAAACAGTGTCAGGCGTGGGATTGTGAGTGGCAAAGGGAAAGGTAAATAAAGGGAAAGGAATAAGGAAAGTTGGACAAACTGTATGACTCAGGGTATACTAATTTGTCTGAATGATTGGGAGCAGAGGGAGATGCAGATTTATCCTGAAGGTGCCGTTCATTTATTTAAACAGCAACAAATAGAAATTAACTCAGCCAGAATATGACTTCAACTGATAGAATCTCATCACCTCTCAAAGTTAAAATTATGTTTAATGAGCACAGAAAAAGCAAAAGGTTCTTTTCTGTGTGCAGGAAGAAGAAAGGGGAACACCTTTAAAATAACTGATAAACAGGATAGCCCCTCCCCAAACCTTAGTTAAAATAACACTCTCTGATGGATAGGATTTCTGATCATTAGAGACCTATGCGGCCACAAGGAACAGAGGAAGAAAATGGTAAAATCCTTGAAAAATTTTCCTCCTTTATTCTTTTCAAGAGCTCCAATATGTGTGGTGGTAAGCTTTTTTTTTTTTTTATCTAAACAACAACAAAAAGACCATTTTCATTTTGAAAATGCAAATCTTGGCAACATGAGAGTAAAACAGGAAGAAAAAAAAATCTAGTTTAGAAGCAATTATCTGAAAAAGTAGATACCACATCACAGAAAATGGAAATGATAGTTGTATAAGAATCTAGCTAATTTAATTTTTTTGTTGTTGTTGTTGTTGTTAACTCTTGGCTAGATGAGCCATCTTACTTCAACCTTCCTTCCTCAAGGTCATGAGCATGGTGTCTGGGTTTGGCCCCCTCATCACTGCTGGGATCTTTTCTGCAACGCTCTCCTCCGCCCTGGCTTCTCTTGTCAGTGCACCAAAAGTGTTCCAGGTAAGACATGAACAAGACCATGTGCTGTTTCCTGTAGCTGTTTCCACCTGACGTGGATCAACCTGAAGTATTCATTCTCATTGGCGATCATTTTCCATCATTTTCTGAAACAGTTTAATGTTTGCATCTAGCTCAAGTGCTATGCCTGCCACATATTTAAGATGGATTCAAATAATACAAAGAATGATAAAGTGCTGTGTTAACTTGTGCCTCACATCGTGTATCACTTAATCTTTCCCCAAATCTTCTTGTTTGAATCACCTAGGGAAAAACGACAGTGCATAGATATAAATGACGGATTTTACCTCTTCTTTTCCATTAGGCTCTGTGCAAGGACAACATCTATAAAGCCCTGCAGTTCTTTGCAAAGGGATATGGGAAAAACAACGAACCCCTGAGAGGATATCTTCTCACCTTTGTTATTGCCATGGCGTTCATTCTTATTGGTTCGTAGTTTTCTTGTTCTTACTAAAAGCCAAAGAATGCTGATTACTCATAGGGCTCTCTGTTTAGCTTGAGAAATTACCTGTTTTATGTCTAATAGCTCATTTGGGAATATTGGAATCTGTCTAGGAAGGAAATGAAAAATCCTTGTGTGTAGAGGGCCCTTGTGGAACTGGAGGCAGACTTTGGACTTTAATCTCTTCTTTGAATCTGAGTGTTAGAAATCCTTCCAGTCAAATGCATATGAACCCTTCCTTCAACCTATCTGGTATCTAATACCAGAGTTTCCTCCAACCCCTGTATCTCCTCAACTGGCAACTGCTAGCAGGAGAATTGAATTGGCTATGTTACTGTTTCTCAATAAGGTGGTCCATTGACCACCTACCTCAGAATCACTTGGGTGTTTGTTGAAGTGCCAATTTTTCAGATCCAATCACAGTTATTGACTCAGAACCTTTAGGGGTAAGGAATCTGCATTTTGGGGAGCTCCTTAAGAGATTTTTAGATCCATCAATGTTTGATAAACACTTCCCCAGACTCTAATCATGGCTCCCTTTCCCCAAGCAATAGAGAAACAGCTAAATATTGTTGGAGAGACACATTCATCAACTTTAGTCTGCACATCCCTTACTCCCCCCTAAGGCACCATCTTTTCTGGTGAGCCCATCAGAGGAAAAGCAGTAAAAAGTGAAGGACGATGGTCCCTTTAGCTAGGTGGGCAGAGCCTTCCACAGCACAGTGGTGCCAAATGATGAGGACTCATCATCTCTGCATCAATTCAGACCCGTCATTTGCCCACTGAGAAGGAAGTGACCACAGTTCATGAATCCTCGTCCAATTCGTACATTGCTGAAAGGGGAAAATTATTACTAAGCTTGTTAGATTTTTTTTTTAAATCTTAAATAAGATGTGATTACATACAGAGATGCTTCAATTACATATTTTAATTTTTAAGGCCACAAATCATTGCCCTATTCTGCATTCTAGTGATCAAATAGCCACAGTTTTATTTTTTTCATATAAATTAAATACCTTTTAAATAACCTTAAAATTTGTTTAAAATTTATTTTCTAACCACCTGTTCTTCATTTATTTATCCTTGCATAGAAATTTCTTCACACTACCACCACCAGGGAGGTTATTTGGAGAGGGCCACAATATGGAGTCTCGAGTCTGAAATCTGAAGTGCCCTCCCCTCATTTTGTGGCTGAGGTGGAACATGTTCCATCCATGTAGCATTGGTGTCTTCCTTTCCATACTGTAGAAATAAAGGAGCCCTAGGCACACACAGAAAGGCAGCCATACCCAAGAGGGCTGATTGGCAAGCGTTAGACAAATTCTCCAGTAAAGGCACTCCTACTTCTATAAGGGATTGGGAACTAGTTAGGAGAGTTGTAGGGATGAGGAGGAATTATTGAGATGGGGGTATTATTTGCAGATTTCAGAGAGAAGTGAAATTCTTCTCCAGCACAATGCATGGAGAAGAATTTTGAAAGTACCATGGACTGTCAGAAGAACAAACAAATCTTAGTTTGGGAGAAAATAATTGCAAAGCACATCTACACTAAAGCAGGGGTGGGGAACATCTGGCTCAGGCTGTGTGTTGTTGCTGCTGTTACATGCCATCAAGTTGGTTCCGACCCATAACGACCCTATGTAGGGTTTCTGTGGAGCAGCTGGTGAGCTTGAACTGCCAACCTTGTGGTTCAAACTGACTTTTGAGTCCAGCTTAATAACCCACAGCACCACACCAGGAGTTCCACAAAACCATTTGTTCTGACCCTGCCAAGGTAACCACAGTTCTAGCCATCACATTGTTGTTATTGTTAAGTGCCTTAGAGGCGGATCATACAAAATTAACAATTTTTAAAATGAGCCTGCTATATTTGGTCAGACATTTAATTAACTGTGACCAAATGTGTTACTTAGAAGCCAGGATGACTAGTCTTTTCTCTCATACTTAAGATACACTATCAAAAGGGACCAGACACTGGCGAAGGGCATCATGCTAAATAAAGTGGAGGTTCAGGGAACAAGAGGAAGACCCCAAAAGATAGACTGGCACAGTTTCGTTCTGTTGTACATAGTGTCGCTATGAGTCAGAATCAGCTCAACAGCACCTAACAATGATAACAGGAGAGAAATATGGGGAAGTCACCTACACTGGACCATCTGCTGGGTCAGTGGAGACTGCTGTTTGTCTTTGCTGCCAAAAGGAGAAGGTGAAGTAGTCATCATGCCCAAAGAGGCACGTACCGATTAAGCCTAGCACCCTGGAGATGATAATGGAGTAGTGTCCTTTCTTATCAAATGGAAGTGATCAGGAAGAGGATCACAGTCACGAGTGCTCGGAAGAAATCACTCTAGGGCCAGCTGATGAACTGTACCTTGGTGTGCAAGGAGCCCTAGTAGTGTAGTGGATTATAAGCTGGACTGCTAACCACAAATTCAGCAGTTTGAATCTATCAGCCACTCCATGGGAGAAAGATGCAGTTTTCTGCTCCTTTAAAGATTTATAGCCTTGGAAACCCTATACAGGCTTGCTCTGAGTCAATGCCAACTTGCCATCTAACAACTAGATCACACACGTAGGTGACAAAGAAGAGAGCAGCCAGGATCATCTCAGCCACAGACAGTGAGGAGAGCTGTGGAGGTGCTAAAGCAGATCAGAACTGCCAGGCAAAATCCAGTCTCAGAAAACTGGAGAATTCCCTTTTGGGTGCAGGAGAGTTTGGTATAAGCAATTCAACAACGGGAAGCTTAGACTCTGCCCTGGCGTGGATTGGAGTCTGAGCAGAGGATCTGCTTGCCTCCTCACAGGTTTGAGGCACCTGTTGTCTGGCTGAGAAGGCACCTCCACCCAGGTGAAGGCTAAAATTATTTTTTGAGAACAACATGGATTGTTCTCAAGCTAATTTTGCTTGGCAATCTCTCTAGATAGTGCCAACAGTTAATGTACTTAACCACTAACCCAAAGGTTAGAGGTTTGAGTCTTCTCAGAAGCACTTCAGAAGAAATGTCTGGTGATTTACATTCTAAAAACTCACTCATAGATAACCCTATGGAGCAAAGTTCTACTCTGACACTCATGAGGTTAATTTTTTGACAACTGGTTCATTTTTGCCTACTTCTTTGTTGGTACCTGTCTCTAGAATCCTGCCTAGCTGTCGTCTGTATTTGCACCAATATGATTGACCTTCACATAGGTAGAGATGTTGTTGTTAGGGGCCATCAAGTTAATGCCTACTCACAATGACCCTATGCACAATAGAATGAAACACTGTCTGGTTCTCTGCCACCCTCACAGTTGTTACGCTTGAGCCCATTGCTGCTGCCACTATGCCAATCCATTATTTGTGTCTTCCATATTATTTATTCTATACTACAGTCAACAATGCAGCTGGGATTAAATCATACTGGAACAGTTAGCCTTGGTGGCAAAAGTATTTTGGGTGACTCATGATAGGTAGAAATCTCTGGAGATATGTTGTTGTTGTTAAGTGCCATCGAGTTGGTTCCAAGTCATAGCAACCTTGTATGGGGTTTCTGAGGAGCAGACAGTGAATTTGAGCCATCAACCATCAGGTTCAAACTGACCCTGCAGTCCAGTGCATTATCCTGCAGTGCCATATGAGGACTCCATCTCTGGAGACACAGAAAAGTACAAATGACTAGCAAGAGTCTTGGAAGTTAGAGAGAACATGTTGGGTATATGCAGAGAGATTTCCAATTGGACTTCCCTGGCATACTGGTATTTAACTAATCTGCCATGTTGTAAATAAAGTCTTTTCATAGTATCCATAGTAGATGATGAGCAGAAGATTTGGTGCCTCCAGAATAGCTGTGGGAGACTTTTCTCATCTGCCGGTCCCCAAATCCTCCATCCAATGTCACTGGAATTTTCTGTAGGCAGAGAGCTTGATAATCTGTTTTCTGATTGGTAGACTTGCTTGCTCCGTACCTTATGGAACTCTGGCTAAGAATAAATTCCAAAATGAATGTAGCTGCAAAGAAAAAACCACTGACTTCTTAAACTTTGACAGATGCTGGTTATGTTTTCAATTCCAAATAAAGTCAAGCTTCCAGGATATAGCAGCTGTTCAGCTCCTGGTCTCATCACTCATACGTCCCTGCTCCACTTTGCTTCTTTTACAGCGGAACTCAACACCATCGCCCCCATCATCTCCAACTTTTTCCTGGCTTCATATGCACTTATTAATTTCTCCTGCTTCCATGCCTCTTATGCCAAATCTCCAGGTAAGTGGACTTTTCAAAACAAAAAGAAGCGTCTACAGTTACTGTCAGTGAAATGAAATAAAAGTCCACATAAAGTTCGAGATCTGTGTTTACGCGTTCCCTTATATCCTAGCAGGCAGCGTAATCCACTTTATTTTGGTGAGTTGGGGGACGACTTCTGAAATAGAAAAAGAATCATTTGAGCAATGGCCTTTTTGACCAACCGTAAAGTCAATTTTCTCCTGTGGCAATAAATTATTCATTGCAAGAGAAACCACATTTATTTCAGCAGTAGAAAAACACCACTATTTATTTCCAGGGTGAAAGTGACCAGAGAAGTGGAATAAATGTATATATTTGAAACTTCCTTACTATCAATTTGTTTCCTGCCCATGGTGCAGAAGAGAAGGATGAGTAGCTCCCATAATTACCTGCTGAGTGCAGTAAATGCAGATTCATGTTGGGCACTGTCATGTTGATACTTAGTGACCTCAGTGTACTCCTCAGGCTGTGGTTCAAAGTGGTTCAGAATTTCACACCCAAGAACCTCTTTCCGCCTAGTCACCCTGCACCCCATCTTCTCTTTCATTAGCCAATAGAATTACTTCTGCCTTTCTACCAGAATGGAGACATACCGTCCCTGACCTTCCGAAAGTCTTTTACCCTGATGATTGTTATCTAAGAGACAGCTACATTTCCTGACTCATGAAGTCTGGGTGTGGTGCTGTAGGATAGATAATGCACTGAACTGCAATGTCGGCAGTTCAAACCCACCAGCCGCTCCTCGGAAACCCTATGCAGGGTCTCTATGAATCTGAACCAACTTGACGGCACTTAACAAGGACCAGCCATGACCATGATCTTAAGCCTCCTTTGGAAAATTGGTGCCCATGAGAGAAAAACACACACGGAAGGGGGACCTTTATCTACCAAACACCACTAGGATATGAAAGATAATTAAGGACAAATTGAGTGCAGTTAGATTCTTTTCCTGGAGGTGTTTTACTTTTTGTTTCTGTTTTCTTTGTTCTTTTAAGTTGTTGTTAAGTGCCGTCCAGTCGGTCCCGACCCATAGCGACCCTGTACAGGCTTTCCTAGGGTGTAAATCTTTACGGGAGTAGAAAGCCTCATCTTTCTCCTGCAGAGCGGCTGGTAGTTTCGAACCACTGACCTTAATGTTCGCAGCCCGATTCGTAACCACTACGCTACCAGAGCTCCTTGTTCTTTTAAGTAGCAAGCCCTTTTCAAAGTGCTGAAAATAAATAAATAAACAAAACCATAGAAATATGTTCCTCCAGTGCCTCAACAATGATATTTACAGCCTCAGAAACCCTATGCAAGGTCACTGTGAACTGACTCCCAGCGCCTAATCATAATAAAGGCTATACCATGCCTAGTTTTTAATAATAACATGAAATACAGAGGTGGGGAAGAGTAAAAAAGTGGAGGGAAGGATGGGGGTGGACAAAGAAAGAGATGAAAACCTGAAAAGCACATAGAGGGAGACACATGACTATACAAACACACACATCCACATGCACACATCCACACACACACATCCACACAGAGTCAGACTCGGTATTACAGTGAGGTTCTTGAAGTGCTATTTCCATCTTGTGGCCACTCATGAAACTGCACTTGAAGATTTTCAAAGCTCTGTTGTATTTTGGCAACTCTAAATTTAGAACGTACTTCACCCATAGACCAAATGAGTCCTCCAAATCAGATCTTTCCCACCCTGACGATACTACCTACCAGTTTCTTTCTTTGCAGGGAAAGAATAAAACAGACAACCCGATGCATGTGTGAACTATGAGAAATAATTTTAACTGTAAAATCATAGTATAGTAACTCATTGGGTTTAAGAAGCTGTTGCTAGAAACATTTCTTTCTTTTCCTATAGATTATGATTTCTGAAGGGACAAGCCCCATTCTCACAGACTTGGGGGGCTTTGTCTTCTCCATAGGAATAATTGTCTTAACCTTCCCCTTCTTAGACACCAAGGAGTTCCTCCTTCCCACCTGCTGGATCCCACCCTTTCCATCCATACTGCTTCCTTTAACTCCTGATGACATAGAAATCAGATGCCTAAAGGTTGATCATTTGAGAAGACAATCAGTGGGCCTACAAGAAATATGGAGTGTTCGTGAATCGTACCATTTCTAAATATCCCTTCATAAAATAAACCTGGGACTCAAGACCCTAGAAACATATTAATAGAGGTAGGAACTTTACCTAAAAATGCTGATCCTTTAGTTGTTGTTGTTAAGTGTCATTGAGTTGGCTTTGACCCATAGGATCCATTTATAGAGTTTCTGGTGAACTTGAACTGCAGACCTTGAGGGTCAAACCAGCTTTGCAGTCCAGTGCATTAACCCACAGAGCCACGCCGGATCTCTATAGCAGGAAGAGAAATATGTTGCCTACATTGTAGCAATATGCAGAGGCACCATGGTAGTGGTTCAGAAATGTTTTCTGTGTACATGAATACACTTTTTTAACTTTCAGGATGGAGACCTGCATATGGCATTTACAACATGTGGGTATCGCTGTTTGGAGCTGTTTTGTGCTGTGCGGTCATGTTTGTCATCAACTGGTGGGCTGCTGTCATCACCTATGTCATTGAGTTCTTTCTTTATATCTATGTGACTTACAAGAAACCAGGTAAGATTAAAAGGAGGTATAATTTGTATTTAAAAGCACTAACTATTAGTCATTGGACTAATTTATTGAGTAGCTTCTATGTATGCGACAATCATGGTGCTGTAGGATAAGTACTGGACTGCGAACCACAAGGTTGGTGGTTCAAATCCACCAGCTGTACAGGGTCGCTATGAGTCAGAATCAACTCAACAACACTTACCAACAATAAGGTAATATAACAATAGTAATAGTCAACCCTGTTGAGCACCTATTATATGCCAGGAACTCATTTAATCCTCATAATAATGCTGTAAATTGTGCCGTAGGATAAGCACTCTACTGCAAGCTTGGTTTGAACTGCAAGATCGGCAGTTCAAACTCACCAGCTGCTCCTTGGAAATCTTTTACGTAGGGTCACTATGAATCAGAACTGACTCACTGGCACTAAACAACAGTCTCATTTTACAGATGAAAAAAAAAATTGAGGTTCAAAGAGTTGACCACTTGCCAAAGTAACAGGATGTAATACAGCTGATATTTTAAGCAGTGTACAAGGGGAGCTTCAAAAAGTTTTGGGAAAAATTTCATTATCTTTCAAATTCTTTTTTCCATGAACTCTCGAAGCCCTTTTGTATAGCACCAAACCCCATAAGATCTCTGTTATGTCCCCTTGTCCCTTTAATGTTCTGATGAATAAGATATAGTCCCTGCCCTCAAGGAGTCCACAGACTCATACATAACAGTTAATTATAGTATAGTCCAGAGGTGGTGGTTGTTGTTAACTGCTGTTGAGTCATAGTGACCCTGTATAGGGTTTCTGAGGACCGGCTGATGTGCTTGAACTGCTGACCTTGCGATTCAAACTGATGTTGTAGTCTAGCGTATTAACCCACAGCGCCACAGCAGTGCAGGGATGGGAAACCCTTTTTTCTGCCAAAATATATAGTATCATTCACGGGCCATACAAAATTATCAACTTAAAAATTAGTCTGCTATATTTGCTCAAACATTTAATTAATTAACCCTTAATGGGATGGCTAAAGTCTTGGTGTGGTGCCATAGGCTAAGCACTTGACTTCAAGGTCAAGTTCAAACTCACCAGCTGCTCCTTGGAAACCCTATACTGGGTTGGAACCGACTGGATGGCACTTAACAACAACAGTAACAACAGTGTGATGGCTACAACAGCAGTTGCCTTGGCAAGGCCAGACCAAATGATTTTGTGGGTCAGACGTTCCCCACCACTGGTATAGTGTAACACGAACTGTGATAGTCAGATGAGTCATAGCCTGAGAAAAAGGAAGAAAATCTCATTATTAGAGTTTTCTAAGAAAACATTCCTGGCTCATGGGTTATGCCCTCAGGACGAAGGGCACTGCAGAACTTAATAACTATTTGATGAATGAGTGAAAAGTAACATTTTTCGTTTTAGATTTTTTTTTTTTTAATGATTAGAGGTTAATTGGACAGAGTCAGGAAATTATATTCTAGGTAAGGATATTGAAGTCAAGAAAGCACATGAGTATATGGTACCGTGACATATTCATGAAAGTTCAAGGCCTTTAGCCCAGATGGCGTTCTTGAGTCCTAAGGAGCTCTGGTAGAGGTGTGGTGCTATAGGATAAGCACTGGACTGCTAACCACAAGGTCATTGGCTCACACCCAACAGTCTCTCTTCAGAGACCCTATTCAGAATCCCTATTAGTTGGAATTAACTCAACAGCACTTCATAGCAACATGTTTGGTCAGAGTTAATTAAATGTCTGCCCAAATATAGTAGGCTAATCTTTAAGTTGTTAATTTTGTATGGTCTGCCTCAATGGCACTTAACAACAGCAATGTGATGGCTGGAACTGCGGTTACCTTGGCAGAGCCAGACCAAATGATTTTGTGGGACTCCTGATGTGGTGCTGGGGGTTAATATGCTGAACTGCTATATTCGTTTGAACCACTAAGTCGGCAGTTCAAGCTCACCAGCTGCTCCTCAGAAATCCTATATGGGGTCACTATGGGTCAGAACTGACTTGATGGCACTTGGCAACAACAACAAAAACCATACAGCCTGCAGACCAGACGTTCCCCACCGCTACTTTAGTGAATATGTGTTTTTGCAATTATTTTGTCCCAAACTATAACTTGGTGTTTCATTTTCTTTACCGTCTGTTTTGAAGAGCAGAAATTCAAAATTTCGATGAACTCAAATTTATCAGTTTTCTTCCTTTATGATGTGGCTTTTTGTGTCTGATCTAAGCTATGTTTCTTTAACCCAAGGTCACAAAGATTTTTTTCTGTTTCTTCTAGAAGAGTGAATGATTTAGTCTTTACATTTAGGATTATGATCCACTTTTAATTATTTTTTTTAAAAATATGGTGTAAGGTACAGATCATAGTTTATTTTTTGCATATTGATGCTTAATTGACTATTGTTGTTTAGTGCCAACCTTTGCAGTTCAAACTGACCTTGAAGTCCAGTGCGTTAACTCACAGCGCCACACTAGGCCTAATTGACTAGTAAAGTCTATATAAGAATGAAATGATGGAGTCCCAGTGTAGCACTGTAGGATAAGCACTCGATTGCAAGGTTTGGTGAACCATAAGGTTGGTGGTTCAAACCCACTAGCTGCTCCTTGAAAACCCTGTATAGGGTCACTGAATCGGAACCTACTCGATGGAACTTAACAACAACAACAAAGTATACTAAGTGCTCGGTACAAAGTCAACACTTAGTATTTCTCTTATCTCCAGAAATGCTCATTTCCAAAACAAAGCTAGGAAGAATAGGGTCTGTCTGCTTTCCAAGGTGGACCTGCACTTTTCTACCAGTGGTTTCCTCTCATTTGGATGACAAAGTTAAAAATTTTAATTTGTAGAAAATAATAATAATAAGGCAAGGATGATGGTGCTTACCTCCTTTATTATGAAGAGTAACTCCTAAAAGAGCAAACTAAAATGCTTCCTAAAGAACCTTGATTGCCTTCCTGGACATCCTGAGCTATCTTCAGTTTACTATGCAAAATACAAAAATTATAATGCACTCTACATACACAGAAATGCTTCCTTTCTTTTTAATCCAAGAATTTGTGAAGAGCCTTTGAATTTATTCATGGGCTGACCCATCTCCTAATTCTATCTGCCTGCTGTATGATTCTCAGACAGCCTCTCCCATCAAGCCATATTTCTAGGGTTGCAGTTTGACAGTTTGTTGTGTAGCTGGAAAGAAGTCTCCCTTCTAAGAATTCACAGTATTCATAGAAGGACATGAGGCTCTTTCTAGGAAAGACTACATCTAATCTTCTCACTCGTCTATCAATGACACAGCTAAGGAAATTCATAGACGGGAATGGCTTGTAAAAATGATTCATGGTGTCCAGAGGGATGATCAGTGCTTTTTATGCCAATTGCTTCTTTCATTCACAGACGTGAACTGGGGCTCCTCTACGCAGGCTCTTTCCTATGTGAGTGCTTTAGACAATGCTCTGGAACTAACCACTGTGGAAGATCATGTGAAAAATTTCAGGTAAAGTTGGCTTCTCAGGCAATTTGATGAACTTCCAATTAGAGGTAGAAAAGGAATCTCAAAAGACAAGTTTATAAGGAAAACAGAAAAATATGAAAATACTTGTTAAAAATGGATAGGTTGAGTTGGGGACTTAGGATAGTAGTGTCCATGAGAAATCTGTGCATAGACCAACGGTTGTTAGAACAGAACAAGGGGATATTAAGGGTTTTAAATCAGGAAAGGTATGTACCAGGGTTGTAGTCTTTCACCATACTTACTTATTCAACCTGTATGCTGATCAAAGAATCTGAGAAGCTGCATTATATGAAAAGTTACATAGCATCAGGATTAGATGAAGACTCATTAATAGCATGTGGTATGAAAATGATACAATTTTGCTTGCTGGAAGTGAAGAAGACTTGAAATGCTTACTGATGAAGATCAAAGACCACAGTTTTCAGTAAGATTGCACTTCAATGTAAAGAAAACAAAAGTCCTTACAAATGGACCCACTAATAATATTATGAAAATAGAGAAGAGATTAAAGTTGTGAAAAACTTCATTTTGTTGGATCAACAATTGACACTTATGGAAGCAGCAGTCAAATAATCAAATGGCATATTGCCTTAAGCAAATCTGATGCACAAAACCTCTTTAAAGTGTTAAAGAGCAAAGCTGTCAGGTTAAGGACTAAGGTGCGCCTGACTCAATGCTCTTTAGAAGCCAGGTTGGTAAGACTTCCTCTCATACTGCAGACATGTTATCAGGAAGGACCAGTCCCTGGAGAAGGACTTTGTGCTTGGCAAAGTGGGAGGCTCAACGAAAAGGAGGAAAACCCCCAAGAATATGGATTGACACAGTGGCATGAGCAATGGGGCTCAGATATAGCAACAATTGTGAGACTGGCACCGGACCAGGCAGTATTTTGCTCTGTTTTGCATAGTATTGCTATGAATTGTAACCAACTCAACAGTAACAACAACAACAAGTGTGTGGGGAATGTCCATATAAGGACTGCAAAATGATTTCATCTGTCCCTGCCAAAACAATTACAGTTCCAACCATCACATTGTTGTTGTTGTTAAGTGCCATCAAGTTGGTTCCAACTCAGAGTGACCGTGTATAGAGTTTCTGAAGAGTGCCTGGTGAGCTTGAACTGCTGACCTTGCAGTTCAAACCTACCTTGCAGTCCAGTGCAGTAATCCACAGTGGAGGGTGAGTGAATTAAATGTTTGACCAAGTATAGCAGGTTAATTTTTAAGTTAATAATTATTTTATGGCCCGTGAGTGGTGTTGTAAATTTTGGCAGATAAATTTTCCTCACCCCTGGTCTACAGGGTTGGCGAAAACAAGAAGCTCCCTCAATGAGATAAATTGACAACAGTAGCTTCAATAATGAACTCCAACATACCAATGATTATGAAGACAGCATAGGACCGAACAATGTTTCATCCTGTTATACATAATAAAGTCACCATGTTTGGGATCCAACTCAACAGCAACTAGCAACAATTGTTCAGAGGCAAAAAGTCAGGGGGACCTCAAGACCAACTTTTTCTTGCTTCTCACTGTCACTGAGAATACAAAGATTGCAAGATTAACAGTCAAGATGATTCAAAAATTATGGTGGGAAGCCTAAGAAATAGTTAGGAGAGCTGTTGTCCCATTTCACCAAGCTTTGTGTACCTGCCATTTATATTTAGAGTAGTTCTGGGCTCATGTACTTGTTGCAATGATCAATTCTCACACCTTCTTTTTTCCATTTCCAGGCCCCAGTGCATTGTCTTAACAGGGGGACCCATGATAAGACCTGCTCTCTTGGACATAACACATGCCTTTACCAAGAACAGTGGCCTTTGCATCTGCTGTGAAGTCTTTGTGGTAAGTGTCACTTCACCCAAGGAAGGGGCTTTGTTCTCCCTGCTCACTTTGTGTTTTAACTGAGCAGAGCAGGTCCATACACTGAGAGAAGACTGACACATCAGCTTGGAGAAGAGTCTTTCACCTTGATTCATAGAACAAGTAGTAACAAGGGTCCGTGATCCTGAATTTAAACAGGTTCATGAAAAGTGTTTCAGATTTCATAGGAGACCAACTAGAATGATAAATATTTCTAAATGATGGTCTTTGAGTCAAGAAAAATAGAACTATCTCAGAAATAAAATGAAGGCATTTGGGAAGATAACTGTCCATAGAAATATAAAAAGATGGAATGAGCAGGATAGAGCGCTATTAGATAGATTAACTGATGGGGAGACAAGCAGACATAATGGCCTTAAATGACAGAATATAGAATTTAGATTAAATATTTGGATAAATCTGATGATATTACAGATGTCTAGGGAGTTAAAACAAGTTTTCCAGGCCATGGATAACCATTCAAAGCTGAATGAGTTCTTTTTTGTTCAGGAAGTATGTGATGGACTAAAAATAACTTATTGGTGGCTTTCTTGGGAGGTATCCAAAGGAGGTGCTGAAAATTTAACCATAGGTATTGACCAATGTTAAAGTAGGGAGAAGGCTTTCAAATAATAGTAAAGTAATTTAATCTGTGTCCTGCTAACCAATCTACTGCCATTTCTCTTCATCACACCACACTTATATGCCACATCCACACATGTCCCACTCAAAATCCCTAGCTCGTTCAAAGCAGTCTTCCCTAGTCTTCAAAGCATTTACCTATAATTTTCTAATATGATCTTGTAGAATCCTAGTGAGGAAGGAAGAAAAAGAAAAGCCCGGTTCTCATTTTAAAGAGTGGGAAAGTAAGATTCAGGAAAATAAAATTATGGCAGAGAATGACATGATAAGAAAATGACAGTCAGAATTTCAATCCAGATAATTTGATTGGACTCTGCATGACATCATGAAAAGAAAGCCTTAGCAGACCCACATCCTTGGGGGTGCTGTTAGCAATAGATCGTTGATATGAGCTGCCAGTCAGCCCCCAACTCATAATGATCGCATGCACAATTGAACAAATTGATGCCCAGCCCTATGCCATCTGTATGGATTGACTGTGTGATTCATAGAGTTTTTATTGGCTGGTATTTGGAAATAGACTATCACACTCTTTTTCCTCTCTTTCTTAGTCTGGGAGTTCTGCTGAAATCTAATAAGCATCATTGTTGTTGTGAAGTGCTGTTGAGTCAGTTCCGACCCATAGCGACCCAGTATAGGGTCCAATAAGCATCATAGCAACATGCAAATCTCCACTGACAGACTGGTGGTGAACATGTCTAACCACTGCCTGGGAATTGAACCTAGGTCTCTTGCATGGGAGGTGAGACGTCTACTGCTGAAACTTTAATGCTCTAAATTCTTCCAGTACTTGCCAAGGAATTGGGCTAATAAGCAGTTGTATGACCCTGGGGACAATCAACTGTCCCATGATGCAGGAGCTTAATTTGCTACATGTCACCATGATCAGCAGCACTTAAGCATCCCTTTATACTTGGCAATGCTCCACATGCTCTGTGAAACCAGTTGGTTATATTTTCTGTCCTCTTAGTGCTTCTATGATAATAACAGAAACACTATAACTAAATGTAATTACCCAATAGGGGAGAGAGGAAATCCCACCGACTATGGAAGACTGACAGGCTAAGTAATGACCAACTGGGACTCCAGAGGACTCAAAAAAATCTTATCAAGCACCTTGTTCCCATATTATCAACTTTGGTGCCCTCGATAAGTGGATTTCATTTTGGCCAATATAATATAGGCCAATATAGGAGCCAGTTTTGATGGAATAAGCAGTTTGGGGTGTTTTTCTTCTCCAGCAATTTAGAGAAAACTTAGTTTAGCAGGCAATAAAAAAATGTTAGGACAGGAGAAATGAACTGGGAGTATAAGCAATCACATATTGGCAAGGGAGAAAAAGTCTTCCTATAGAGGCTAAAGAGACTGCTTTTAATTAACCCTTTGCTAGTTTAACTATAATAAAAAGTTATGATTCTTGAATATCATTTCATTTAAAATAGCCACCTAAGCCTGTGCCGCCAATGATCCTGGTGTTTTGACACATACATTGGACAGAATTATACATTACTGTGCTGCTTCCTCTGAGTAGGGCTCAAGACTCTTGCTCCCAGGTTTCAGAGTTCCGTTGGGGACAGAAAAGAGTTCCTGCATCACTTAATGACTTTCCAGTTAGTTACTTTCTGTGGGATCCTGAGGCTGCCAATGCCATCAGCATATGTAGGCTCCAGGCTCAGTTGTCAATCATCTTTGAAAAGGAACACATGGAAGAGGATGTATGGGATAGCTACATACCATTAGAAAATTGTATTATAACAAAGCACTGTGGTTGATGGTGAGGCCAATCTTGTGGGAACACGTGAAATAGTAATGGTGATGTTAGGAAATATCAATTTCCTAACTGTTGAGACAAACAGCTAAGTTTCAAAACATCATTTTGCCACCAATTATCTGTGAGTCTCTTAGGTATGTAATTTAGCTTTCTTGTGCCTCAATTTCAACCACTCATGTGTAGTTTGGGTGTGGCTGTGATGCTGCAAGCTATGCCACTGGTATTTCAAATACCAGCAGGATCACCCATGGTGGACAGGTTTCAGTGAAGCTTCTCATTAAACAGACTAGGAAGAAGGAAGAGGCAACCACTGAAACCCTTATGAATAACAGTGGATGGAACACATAGTACCAGAAGATGAACCATTTAGATGGGCAGACACTCAAACTATGACTGGGGAAGTGCTACCTCCTCAAAGTAGAGTAGATGGAAATGGGGGTGGAGCAAAATTTTGGGGACCTTCATTTGATGATGTGGCATGACTAAAAATGAGAAGAAATAGCTGCAAACATTCATTTATAACTGAAATATGTAATGTACAAAGTGTGACTCTGGGAAAACTTGAAGTCATCAAAAATGAAATGGAACCCATAAAATTCAATAGCCTAGACATTAATGAGCTAAGATAGACTGATATTGGCCATTTTGAGTAAGACAATCTTATGTTTTACTATATCAGGAATGACAAATTGAAAAGGAATGGTTCATCTTAAAACAAACAAACAAATATTTGAAAATCTATCATGAAGTACAGTGTTGTCAACGATAGGATAATATCAATATGTTTACAAGGAAGACCAGTTAATACAGCTATTATTCAAATGTACACACTAATCAGTAAAGCCAAAGGGAAAGAAATTGAAGATTTCTACCAACTTTTTGCAGTCTAAAATTGATCAGACCTGCAATCAAGATGCATTGATAATTACTGGTGATAGGAATGTAATAGTCGGAAACAACGAAGGGTTGGTAGTTGGATTATCTATTTTTGATGACAGAACAACACTAGACATTTCATGATAGCATTTTTCAAGACCAACAACTTATTCATTACAAATATCTACTTTTCAACCGTATAAGTAGTGGCTGGGAGTCCTGGTGTGGCACTGTGGGTAAATGCGCCAGACTGCAAAGCCATTTGAACTTCAAGGTCAGTGGTTCAAGCTCACCAGCTACTCCTTGGAAACCCTATACAGGGTCGCTATGGGTCAGAATCCACTCGACGGCACTTGACAACAACAACAACAACAAGTAGTGGCTGTACATATGAATCTCACTAGATGGGATACACAGGAATCAAATTGACTACATTTGTGGAAAGAGATAATGGAGAAGCACAATATCATCAGTCAGGACAAGATCAGCGACTGATTGTGGAACAAACCATCAATTGCTTAAATGCAAGTTCAGGTTGAAGCTGAAGAAAATTAAAACAAGTTCATGGGAGCCAAAATTTGACCTAGAATATATGCCGCCTGGATTTAGAGACTATCTCAAGAATAGATTTGATATGTTGAACAATAATGACTGAAGATCAGATGAGTTGTGGGATAATATTAACAACATCATTCGTAAAGAAAACAAAAAGCCATTTATAAGACAGGAAAAAAGGAAAGGCCAAAGTAGATGTCTGAGGAGACCCTGAAACTTGCTCTAGAACATAGAGATGCCAAAGCAACTGGAAGAAATACTGAAATAAAAGAGATGAATAAAAGATTTCAAAGAGCAGCTTAAGAAGACAACGTATTGCAACGAAATGTGCAAAGACCTGGAGTAACCAAACCAAAAGGGAAGAACACGCTTGTCGTTTCTTAAACTAAAGAACTGAAGAAAAAAATTGAAGCCTCAAGTAGTAATGTTAAAGGATTATGTGGGCAAAATATTATACAATACAGGAAGCATCAAAAGAAACTGGAAGAAATATAGTCACCAATAAGAATTGGCTGACGTTAAACCATTTAAGTAGGTAGCATGTGATCAAGAACTGATGATACTGAAGGAAGAAGTCCAAGCTCCACTGAAAGCATTAGCTAGAAACAAGGAATTGACCAAATACCAATTGAAATGTTTCAATAAACCAATGCAACACTAGAGGTGCCTGCTTATTTACACCAAGAAATTTGTAAGACAACTACCTGACCATCCAACTACAAGATATTCACATTTGTGCACATTCCAAAGAAAAGTGACACATCAGACTGTGGAAATCATTGAACAATATCATTAAAACCAAATGCAAATCCAATGTTGCTTAAGATCATTCAAAATAATAGTGCAAAAGTACATCAACAGTGAGCTGCCAGAAATTCAAGCTGGATTTAGAAGAGGACATGGAATGAGAGATTATCATTGCTGGTGTCAAATGGCTCTTGGCTGAAGCGGAGCATGTCAGAAAGATGTTTACCTGTGTTTTATCGACTATACAAAGACATCTGATTGTGTGGATCATAGCAAACTATGGATAACATTACAAAGAATAGGGGTTCCAGACACTTAATTGTGCTCATGCAGAACCTGTCCAAAGACTTAGAGGCGGTCATTTGAACAGAACAAGGGAATGCTGAGTGGT